CTGAAAAGCATGCACATAGTACAAATAATAAAATAAAAGCATATAAAAAAGCTGAAAAAAATTGTTTACTATTTTTTATTTTATATGATTAGGCAATATTTATTTTATTTTAATTCAAAGAACAGAATTTCAGTGCGAATTATTGCACTGCATTGTTAAGCTACTCCCGTTAATCTTCAGTTGTTCGTCAAATATTTATTTAATAGGATTTCCGCAGGTTTTCACCACCAAGGAATAAGAATTTTTACCGCTCTCATTGTAATAGCCGATGTTATTCCTTCATTTAAGTAAATGTTTTGGTAGAGGACTAACTAATTAAACTTTTTCTTTCTTTTATGCTCTTATTGCTCTATAAGGGGCAACGTAAGCAAATTAATTTGTTCCGCAGCGACTGATCGTAAAGACACGGTTCCCAGTAAAACACCGAAGTCAAGCATCACTGGCTGCTGTCAGTAGCGGGTGGGTAACTACTTTGATCAACCTGCATAGGGACCGAGGGTGCGCGGTATCGGTCATCGTTAAACTGTTCTACCGTAAAGTGCTCGAATTCGCGGAGGATCGGAGAGTGATTCTGCAGAGGATAAAAATTGCGATGGCAAATCTTCGGATCATCCTCAGGAATATTTCCCAGACCGTCGCCAATAGCCCATTGTGTAGCTCTAGTGAGACGTAAATAAAGTTCCAACCTACCTACCAACCAAATAAATTTATAATCCAAGGGATAGAAAGATCACCTTTTTTGGCAGATTTTGGACTATTTCTATAATATTTTCTTGTCAATTGGCTTTTGATCTTTTCTTCTAAACATATCGGACTACCAGATATGCATTAATTACTTTGAAGTGTCACAAAAGTACTAATTGCTGCTAAAATGTAAATTAAAATTTAAAAAAAAATTAAAACAGAAATAAAAATAATATTTTTTTAAACACTTTAAACATGCAAATCGTAACATTTTGAAAAAAATAATAAATATTTCGCAGTATTTCACGCCGCGACAAACTTGCAATCTTATTCATAACTACAAATAGTTTGTTTACGCTGATTTATTGCTAAAAGTTTTGTAGACATTGTTTACAAGTGGTTCATACATTACTTACTGTAAATTATTTTGCATGCAAGTTTCATTAGAGAAGTGATTCATTTATTCTTAAGAAACCCTCGACGTCACGCAGATTGAATGCGCTAAGAAATATTGGAAAAATTAGCTTAAATACATTTATTTCACTCACGCTTCGAAGAAATTAATAAGAATTGTTCTTTACTCGCAAATCCCCAAAGTAAGTTCAGTACTTTTTATTTGAAACATGATTGCATTTATTTTTAATGATATTACAAAGTAATTTCATTTAGTTTTTTAATTTTGTTGGGATTTGTATGATAGAGAGAGGAGATAACTTAATCTGTAAAGTAATAATAAGTAATGAATAAAATAATGAATGGCGATCTCATTAATGTATGTATTTGCTTATTAACTGTTTTTCATTTAATTATTTTTCTTTTCGTTAGTTTAACTTGCTTTTTTTTTCAAATTATAAAAATAATTTCTTTATCTTAATTGTTTGAACTAATAATTATTATTTTAAATTTTTCTATTTATAAATTTCACCTACACTTTTTTTTATCAAGCATTAAACTTATGCATTCAAACTTATATGACTTGGAGGTTTATTTCACTATTTTTCCTTCGAGCTTTTTTTATTTTTCTTAAATTTAACTAACATTTCATTTCGTTTATTTCTTTATTTTTTTTAATAAAAATTCCATAGTGCATTCGATATTATAAAAATTATTTTTCATTTTTAAAATTTTAAATTGAATTTTTTTAATCAATAATTCACTTTGCACTCAAAAACTTAAAATGGTGTGTTAAGTAAATAAATTTTTTTCAATTAAAATTTTTCTACTTAATAAGTATTTTAATTTTTTCCTTTTTAAAAATTTAACTTACATTTTTGAATTAACAATTTAAAGTTCATTAAAATTAAAATTGCTTGCAAATTACTAAATAATTTCGCATAATTTCAGATATATATATATATATATATAAGCANATATGTATATATATGTCCCATACGTGACTTTCTATATTAATTATTAATTCATAGCTTAAAATAGATCATTTTATTAATTAATTAAAGGAAATTGTTCCTTTTCTATGAGCACAAAAGTTTAATATTCCAATTAAAAGATAATTTATCTGAATGCGTAATAAGTCTCGGAACTATGAACTCTATAGTGTGACCTCTAATAGAAAGAAAATAAAATTTTGTCAATTTGTATCTTTGTCGTATTACTTTTTTACTTTTCCTAAAACTGAAATAAATAAATAAACTGCTTTGAATGTAAGATTACCTGCATTTTTCATACTTTCATTACTTTGTCATTAGATATAAATAATTGAAAAACAAATACTGTCAGAACATGTGCCTAATAATATAATTGAAAGCTCTAAAGGAGAAGATATCAATAAAACGTATTTTATTTATTCAAAATTAAAAAAAAAAAAAAAAAAAAAAAAAAAAAAAAAAAAAAAAAAAAAAAAAAATTCGTGTGACTTTATAATATAAACGAGATTGGCTCAACGGCTTGTTGACCACTGGGGGCCTTGAGCTACAACCTTTTCATCCGAGTCCATATCTCTGCGAATTAACTGTTTCTGTAAAATTTGTTTAATTACAATTTGGGCAAAGAATGAATTCTAAAAGAAATTGCACGAAGCGAATGTAATAAAGAATTAAGAATTAGAATTAAACGTATAAATTTTTGTTTTAAAATTCATGAAAATAATTTTTAAAATTTATTAATAAAAATAAAAATAATCGAGATCTTTTAAAAAGTTAAAAATGAATTGAAAAAAAATAAAAATTGCAAAAAAAATTATTTCATTGAAACTAAGATCCTTTTATGCATCTAAATAAGCTTCTTAAATGCCGTGATATGTCAATTTATGTTGATTGCAACGAAAAATAAATGTTTGGTTGGGAAACTTTCATGATTATTTATTGATAAGTGCCTCTAAATGGCTAATAAAAACTTATTGCAATTGTAATTTGTTATTTTGTGGCAAAGTAACATAAAATATCAATTATTCCATTTGAGAATATTTTTTTTATATTACAAGTACTTTACTTTGCAATCAAAACAAGTCTGCTATTTTTCATAACTAAGTTACTTTACAATAAAGAAAATCTAAAATGTTTGAGCTAGCTACCTGTTTTTAGTGTGACCGACAAAAAGCTTTTTGTTTAATGTAGAGATTTTACCTTAGCAACAAAAAGGCTTTTATTCTCAAGAAATTCTTCCTCAACTTTTAGAGAGAAGGAAAAACACACACGGAATATTTCTCAATCTTTATGAATGGAAAATATCTTTCAGAAAAAAAGTAATCAATAATCTGCTGTTTACTTTAGAATTCTTGGAATTTTAGAATTCTTGGAATTTTAGAGTTCTAGCAATTTTGGCGTTAGCTCTTGGCATGGAGAAGAATTTCCGAAATTAGACAAATTAGAAGGCGTTTCTTAAAATTGAAAAAAGATCATGGGTGAGATTCCTTTTGCTGTCGGGCTAGAACGTGGGAGGTTTATGTGAATTTCCTCTCCATGTAACGTAAATGCTGGTTAGTTCAGCTAAAAAGTCCTTCAGAAAGCCTAGTTTGTCCCAATACTTGATCTAGGAGTTCCCTTGTCTTCTAGGTTGGGTTAAAATATACAGGCTACGGAGTTGAATATTCAGAGTCGTAAACTCATAGTTAGGCCGACTGTTCAACATCGGTTATAAAATAAAATAAATGCATAATGATTGGTAAAAGAATGAGATATTTACAAGGTGGGTATAAAATACGATAATAGTAGTTTTAAAGCATTCCGGAAAATTATTTTTCCTTTAAAATTTCGATCATGATGAATGCATATATTTTACCATAATAAATATGTGATAGCTCTTAGATATCATCCAACATAAATTTAAGAGAAATAATTCTTACGAAAATACAAAAATATATAAATTATGTTTATAAAGAATGTCAAAAGTAAGTTTTTTGAACTTAAAAAGTTAGTTATCGATCCCCTTGAACATATATTTCCTTAATGAATGTGTGGTAGCCTTTAAATACCTATAATAAATTGTTAGGGATACATTTCCGACCTTGTATTGCCATATTATTGTCATGTGCGATCTTGTATTGCTATTCTGCTCCTTCTAGGAGCATCTCACCCCTCTTAGAAATTGTTTTCAATTTCCTTGGATATAATTAAGGACGAATTTATCGAATTTATTTTACTGTAGATAAATAATTTCTTTTGAAGATAAGGCTTTAAGTTAAGTTAATTTTAGGTCATTCATCGCTTCATAATTACCATTAATTCATTGCTGTTCACATAATATGAATATCAAATGTATTAATATATTTCTTTTTGTCTTAGAAAGATAATTTTTGTTTACGATATGACTAAGGATTTAATTTATTTGATTTGATTACACTAATCACAAAAATAATTACTAGTCACAATCATTTCTAATTCATCGATAACTGCAAGTAAATATATCTTCAATATACCGACCAGGTGGCCGAGTGGTTGGCGTGTCTGACTGCGGAGCCATTGGCCGCGGGTTCGAATCCTGCTCAGGTCATGGATGTTTCTTTCTCTCTCTGTGTTCTCAATGTGTGAATGTAACCTGCCCTATAAATGGGTTTGTAGTTGTGTGACGTGGGCGACGCTGCTTCACCACCGTGGTTACGCCACAGGTGCCCACAGGGTAACGAGAAGAAAGTAGCAGTCCTGGCATTTCTATGGCCAATGGGACTAACCCAAGTGCCCGCTATTAAAAAAGAAAAAATATCTTCAATATTGGTAAATTCATCGCAGTCATTTAATTGTTGAAAAATAATTTTAGACATTTATTTTAAATAATCTCACAGATAAATTTCTGTATCTGTATTTGCATAATGTATTAACTGAATTAAAAAAAAAATTCTGTCTTGATTGTTTTTAGGGGACACAAGAAATTAGTACCCAGATGCTCCGGATTGCTATCTTACCAACAGGATCCACTTTAATAAATGAAACCAATGGTGAAATTAAAGTGATTGGAGGGTACGAATCTTCTCTCTTGGATATTCTTATACAAGGTTTAAAAATGCCATATAAACTTTACGTACCCAAAGAAAAAACATGGGGTGCTAAAACTCCAGATGGAAATTGGACAGGATTGATGGGAATGATCCATCGAAAAGAAGTAGACATAGCATTAAGCTCAATGTTCATAACCGAATCCAGGCAAGAAATCGTAGACTTCAGTTTCCCGTGCACTTTCCACACTATAACATTTGCCACGAAGCTCCCAGCAACTATTTCGAAAGGAGACGCTTTCTTTATGCCGTTTTCATTGATGCTGTGGCTTTGTATAGGATTTACATTTATACTGTTTTTCGTGTTCATGCGTTTATATCCACCAAATAAAAGTACATTCCAGGAGGATATTTTTAACATGATTGGAATCTTCTTGCACCAACCAGGCTGGTTTGAAGTCCAGACCACAGATGCCAGATTTCTTCAGTTGTCTTGGATGCTATTTTCACTATTTATTTCGTTCAGCTATACAGTGCTTCTGTTATCTTTCATGACGCTGCCGACTCGAGAAATCGGTATTCGCACCATTAATCAACTAGCAAAAGCAGTAAGCGAAGGGCGTTACAAAGTCGTGACCATCAAAGGATCCAGCATAGCTTTTACTTTGGCTGAAAGCGGGAAAAAACGGGATGAGATAATTGGCAAGAAAATCATAAAAAGTAAATGGTTTGTCGAACCACAAAAATTGGACTTAGTGAAGTATATCAATAAAAATAAAGTTAAAACTGCTTTTGTAACATCAAAGCATAATCTTCATCTTCAATATCAAGATAGTTTCTACGTTTCTAAAGATTCTTTCTTTATGGCTCCATCTGCAATTGCAATGATTAACGGTTTTCCTCTGCGACATAAAGTAAATAGCCTGATATTAAGAGGAGCGGCTTCTGGAGTCTATGATAAAACATACAACGAATACGTTTTCCGGAAAAGGTTAAAAAGTTCAGATGATGATGATTCAGATTCTGATAAGCAACTTGGATTGAACGATCTATACGGACTTTTTGTTCTTTTAGTTTTCGGTAACATTTTAGCTGCCATTGTTTGTCTATTTGAACGTATAAGTTATAGAAAAAGGCAGAAGAGCAAAGAAAAAATTTCGAAGAAGTGTAAAAAAGTTTCAAAGAAGTTAAAACAGAAAAAGATAGTTTTAATCTTACGTTGAAATATTACATTAAGAATGAGCTGCTTACGATGTCTATGATAGAACATGCTAAGATATTTTACCTAAAACTTAAAAGGTATTATATACCACGATGATGTTTTAGATTCTAATAAATTTCAACTTGGATTGACTTTTTGTTCTTTTAGTGTTCGGCAATATTTTAGCTAGAGTAGCGTGTTTTTTAAAACGTATAATTAATAGAAAAAAGCAGAAGCATAAAAAAACTTGAAAAAAGTCATGGAAGAAAAATGTTTTAATCTTACATTGAAGTATTATACTAAAATGAAGCTGTAGATGTCTACGATAAGACATTATACTAATATATTTTACTTAAGAAATTAAAAAGTATCAATATAACGATGACGATTCGGATTCTTCAAAAGTATGGACTTTGTATTGAGGGATTAATGTGCGCTTCTTTTTCTCTCCTTTTAGTGTTCGCTTATTTATGTATATTTCTCCCTATAATATTAAGTATTAGTTATTTATTTTCTACCTTTTGCTATTTAACTTATATAAAAATAAATATTTGTATTTTAAAAATAGGATTATTTTTACATTTCATTAATTTGTTAATGCAGAAATTGATATTTGGAAAAGCGTATATATTCATATTAGTCTTCATAATTTTCTAACCTTTGTAGGCCAAAATGTAAGCAAAACGAAATTTCGGTTTACTGTACAAATTTAAGCTTCTTATAGTGCTAAAATTCCAACTTTTTTGAAAAAATAATATATCTCTATATAATCTATGTAACAAAACAACATGATGGTCTAACGCAGTTTTCTATTGTTGTATTGTAGGAGCATTTTCATTGATCACATAATCACATCGTGGGATCCAGATTTCCCACATTGATTTTCGTATTATTTCGATTGTCATCAGCATAAAATTAATAAAAGTCATGAGAATATCATTTCCCCATAAATATTTTTGTATCCCTAATTTGAAGGTTTTTACTGCTGTACTGCTATTATTATATTTTTGATTTTGATTGTTTTGAATAAAGAGTTTTAAAACTAAGAGAATTGCCATCGCTAGCATTTTGCTGACTCCAAGCCCACGCTTGTTAATTTTATTTATTTTAACTGTCAGAAAATTTCTGCATTTCATACTTTCGCCTTCCGCTCATTTAGCCTTTGCTCTGACTCATCTTTAAACTCCGAACTTAACTTCCTCCGCTCGCTTGCTGCTAACCGTCGATTTAACCCCACTGTAGTTGATTCAGCTCTTGCTAAACTCACTAGTCCCAAACGACCCTCCTCTTTTAATTACACCGAACTTGGTACTTAACCGTTTTCCCCCCCTCTCGTTTGTTATATAATTGTTAATATCTTCTCCCGTTTTGGTTTTCAAATCATTTTTAGGTCCGTTAACAGAATCAAATTTAAGTTGATAACAAATTTAAGCAAAATTAACCTGTTAACAAAATTAAATTGATTTTAAAAAACGATTACATAGAAAAATTACTTAATGTTCATTGAATAGAATCATAAGGGAATATTTGGACGTGGGAAGTGAGGCCCAAGCGTAAGCAAACAAATTCTTTTTAGTACATACATTTTAAGTGAATAATTAAAATATTTGTAAAAAAAACTGTTTTATGCTAAGAAACAACAATTATTGTGAAGCAATCATCGGGGCTGGAGAGTGGCAACGAACAGGATGCATAGCTTTCTAGTTATTATAAAAAATATTTATGTAGCATATGCAGAAATCAATTTTCAACTAAAATCTGCATTTAATTCGAAGATAAACATGTCTATAACTTAGCATAAATGTTCAACGAAACAAAAAATTATTTAAAATGTTTATTAGTTGCATTCACTTAAATTTTTTCTTTTCCTTTTATAATTTTTATTTAACTCATCATACAAACTTCTTAAATAAATATGCTTGCAATAAAAAAGAAGATTTATCTAAGTTTTTTCCCAATATTATTTTTATCAATACTGTATAAAAATTATTGAATTATGTGTTAGAATAGCTATTTTACAAGTTTTGTTGTTTATTTCAAAAATACGATTGTCGTGCAAGAAAAGCAACATTGGAACATTTGAATATTTTTATCATAACCTTCATCATTTTGTCATAATTTTTATATTTCAGAAAGAAGTTGAATTTTTTCAATACTAATAGTTATTATGAACTGTTTATGCAACAACGAATTTAATATGTTAGCAATTATGAACTAATAACACAGTGATTATTAATAAGAATATAAATTTCTTTTATTTGCAATAATCACGACATTTTTGGCTAATTAGTTTCTACAAGTTTCTAGTTATGAAATAAGTATGTAAGTTTATGTAGTTAAAAAAAACTACCTTTCACACTTACAAAATGTATAAAAATATCCGGACTTATATTGCATGCCTAATTATCACATAACTTGTTCGAATAACTAATTTTTTATCGTATAGAATTCGGTAAAAACACTTTCTTTTCAAAAATTAAATGCATAAATGAATGCAAGGAAAAATAAGTGTGACGGGGGCTTGGGTGTGTGGGTGAGGAACAGCAATAATTGCATTGTTTATTAAAATCTCTTTAAATCTCCTAAAATGTTTTGGCAGATTCACAAAAATGTTATTCACTGCAGTTACGCGGCAACATTTTTGATTTTTAAGTGACAAATTATCTAACGAAAACACCTGAGGCTTCAATGACTTCGGTCAATATTTGTAATTGCTTGCTCATTGTTTTGCATTGACTTGTTTTTATAAATGTAATATGCCTTGCCATTGGAAATAAAAAAAATAAATAAATTATATAGCGAGTATTTTACGATGGAAAACGAAATTCTCAATTTACTTTTTATTTACTACTTTAAACTAACTTTATTCATTGCTTTAAATAACAGTGGATGCTAATTTATTTTCGCTTTATAAATGTGCTTATTACATATTTTAATAGTAACTTTTGATTTGCATTTTTATAATTAACCATAACAGGCTTTAATGAACTAATGACTTAGCGGGACTAATGTGGACAAATCTATATTAAAGTCAATGCGATAATCTCAGTTAATTACGAACGCATAACTATTTAAATTAGATTGATTTTGTAAAGTAGAATAGGATTAGGTGAGCTACCTCTTATTAGTTTGTAGTTATTGGCAACAGAATCCATTGACTGTCTGCTGCATTGCATTACATTAGACTTGAAAATCACTATTTTGACTATGAGTTCAGCAACGGGCTGATAATGCTATTTTGCAAGAAGGTCATATTTCTGTTCTTTTTCTGCTTAATTTTTATATCTAAACAAATATGAATATCAGTGAGACGTTTATACTGTTTTATATTGTTGTTAGAGACAATAATTAAAACTGTCTTACTATCGAACGTTATTTCACCGTGTTAATAATGGTTGAGAATACGTTGTGACTACGGATTCACATCGTAACTTTTATGGAAAAAACTTGTTCTTGAACGGTAAAATGTTGTTGGGACTACGGATTTACTTCATAAGTTTTACGGTTTTGCGCAACCAACCCAGCTGCCGGTTTAAAACCTTAAAATCTTCGAAATATTTTTCACAGTGTATAACCGAAGTCATCTGCGTATTTGTACACACTTACGAAATGCTTGTTGCTTTCAACGAGGCAGTCTAAGTAGTAATGAATAGGCTAGTGACCTAAGCACGGAAACTTTTCGGTTGTTCTGAAAGTAATTTCGTTTTTCCAAAAGAGAACGTATTTATATATTTTCATTGTCTATCACACTTAAGCCGCATAAGCATTATTTATTTTATCCGTTGGTATAGCAACGCTTGCTTGTGAAAAAGTTCACTTGATTCTACGCTGTAGTTTTTGGTTGATGCCCTTTCAAATATGGAAATAAATAAGCAGGAGTTTCGGTATATTTACTCTTTTACTATCGCGAAAAGGGAAAAATACTGTTCAAGCAATGAAAATATTATCCGATGTATATGGAGAGAATGTATTTGGCAGATCGCCAATACCAAAACTGGTTTGCAATATTTCGATTCACCAAAGTTTTAATTAATCAACAACAATATTGATTACAGTAATCAATTACAAGTAATTGATTACTGTAATCAATATTGTAATCATGATTACAGCTGTAATCAAAATTTTTGAAAATTGTAATCATGATTACAAGTAATTGACTGTAATCAAACTTTACTGTAATCAAAAAATGTAATCGATTACATTTTTGGCCAACACTGGTATATATATATATACTTATGAGTATAGACCGAGTCGAGATCATATATAAACTGCTGTTTGTAGAAAATGCAACACCATGAAAGAATCATCAGAATCAAATGAAATTTAAAGCAGAAACGACTTGTACTGATACAAATAAATGATGAAATTTTCAAAACAAAAGAAACAAATTAAGCGTCCGAAATCAGTATTTGGTGCAGCCACCACGCGCTGCAATAAGTGCTGCTATACGACGTGGCATGGAGTCAAACAGATGTTGAATATCTGCTTGAGGAAGAGAATTCCATATCGCTTGTATGCGCAACCAAAGTTCGTCTTTGGAAACTGCAGG